ACTTTACACCAGTAAGCCATGCTGTTTAAGTCTGATTGTAGCAAAGACCTTTCTTCAATTGAAACGTACGATTTATAAAGTTTTACATCATCTGCATACATTAAAATTTTGGTAAATTTTATATCTGTAGAAATATCGTTTATAAAAAGCAAGAACAGAATCGGGCATAGGTGGCTACCCTGAGGGACTCCTGAAGTAACATCAATGACGTCAGAGATAGTATTTTTAAACAATACCCTTTGTGATCTATCATAGAGGTATGAAGAGATCCAACGTAGAAAATTAGGTGGAATACCAAGAAGATCAAGTTTATAGATGAGCAACGAGTGCCACACTTTGTCAAATGCTTTACTGAAATCAGTATATATAACATCAACAGTTTTGCTCTCACTAAATGCTTTTGAGATATAGGATGTTAATTCAAGTAAATTTGTAGAAGTTGATTTGCCCTTGCAAAATCCATGTTGACTGTATGAAATGCTTGAAGTGATAGAATGCGTCAACCGATTTGTTATAATTGCTTCAAATAATTTAGGAATTGCAGAAAGCTTAGCTATGCCCCGGTAGTTCTCCACTGAAGACCTGCTACCGCTTTTACGTAAGGGGGTTATGAACGATTCCTTCCATACAGTTGGAAAAACGCCCTCTTTAAGAGACAAATTAAATAAGGCTGTTAACACAATTTCTAAGAAAACAAGTGGGGATCTGGTCAGGGCCATAACTAAAAGACTGCTTTAAGGACTTCAGGTAAACTAAAACATCATCGGGAGATATTATAGGGTTATGTATTGAGTTAATTGGACTTAGTTTAAAAGGATAGTCAAAGTATGCTTGGGAGTTAGTGGAATAATTGGATTTAAAAAACTGAGCGAACATGTTAGAAATTGTTTGATTTTCACCAGAGACAGTATTTTGATACTTCATGGCGGAAGGAAACCCACGTACATTTCGCTTGGAGTTTTCGAAATCATAAAATGATTTGGGGTTATTTATTATACGTCGTTTGATTTTACACAAGTAATCTTTATAACACTTTTTGTTTAATTCAAAGAACCTTACAGCCGACTTAGATGCATCATCAACATAAACAAGATCTAATACTTTGCCAAACTTATTGCGAAGTACATTAACTTGTGACGCAAAAGTGAGTATTTTGCATAGTATGAGTGTAAGCCGGATTTTTGTGTAATCTAAAATATCGTGACTTTCTGTTTTTCAAGTTTCTCAGTTCTTTAGTGAACCATAACTGTGTTTGTTCTTCAGGAACACACATGCGTTTAGGCACATACTTTTCAAATAATCTATGTACAGTAAAATTAAAATGTGCAACGCTTTGCTCAACTTTTTCTTTGTATATAGGCCACGACAATTTAGACAATTCTTTATTCAGTTTTTTAAAGTTGGCTTTCGAAAAATCAAAGCGTATGTTTGGACATCGCAATTTTGACCATCGTTTATAATTTCGTAAGATATCTCAATAGCAGGGTGGTAGACATCTTCGGGCAAAACTAGTGGGTCACATTTATTTACAGCCGACTTAGATGCATCATCAAGGTAAACAAGATCTAATACTTTGCCAAACTTATTGCGAAGTACATTAACTTGATTCAGGCAGAGTTCAGCCATCTCCTCTAAAAATACGTTGTTGCACGCGCTAGACGAGAAAGGTACAATATCATTGTCAATGATGTTCCATGATACATTTGGTAAATTAAAGTCACCCAACACAATCAATGAATCAGAGGGTTTAGTCATTGAATTAATTGATTTCAGTAAAGATGCATGTTGTGAATACACTGATAAGTCAGATCGGGGAGGAATATAGCATAGAGCTAAGTAAGTAAACCCCCTTCCAACCTGAACACGAATGCATTTGAATTCTGCAGATTCAAAGTGTGGAAGACTAACTTCTTCAGATGGTATTGAAGAGTCTACGGCAAAGAGTACGCCACCGCCGACTCTGCCCTCCCGATCTTTTCTTTAGATATGATAATTATTTGAAAGAATCTCTGAATTAAAAGTGTGAGTGTTGAAGGACAGAAGCCCTCAAAGGGATAATATATCGCAGCAGCAGCGCGAGTTCAGTCGCTGACTGCATTGCCAGCACAGCAGCAGTGCCAGTTGGGCCACTGCTTCCAGTGCACTTAGCAATAGGTAGTAGTTGTTGTTATTGTTGTGCATGGCACCGCTAATCGGGAGCATATACAAAAATGCGTGTATAAAAAATGGATTTTCGGCACGACAAATATAACACCACCACTTATCACTGCTGCAGCGCTAAATACACACATCGTCATACATATGTACAAAAGCACCGCAAACAAATCACGCCACCATCACCACCCGCTATTTTTCGAATTTATTTGTCTTGGAATTTGGTCAACCTATGGCAACCTATTTGGTGTCACTTGGGACACAAATCGATTGAACGCGCACCGTGATAGGCATTCCTCGCTTCATCATATAAAATTCTTCGCATAATATTTTGTTCAATATTAGAATAGCTACCAACTATTTGAATAGTTATTAAATAAATATTTTCTAAGTACAAGGTACTTAATTCTTGTTTAAATTCGCAAAAAAGGGCTAAGGAAAACGCTCCTAGCTCCAACAAAAACTGGTCCTTCGAGCCGGATCACGCCCGGCTCACAAATTTTCCCATATTTTCGTCATCGTATTTGAATTTAAAATTTCTTTTCGTTCTTGATTTATAAAAGTTGGTTAGTCAATATGTCGGATATCGAGCAAGAAGATACAAGGGTGCAAACTCCTCTGTACCGCGAATCGCGTGAAGTCCGCGTCAAAAAGAGTCAACGGTTATCGCTGTTAAATCGCTTGAAGGCTCTCGAAATACCGTCGGTTCAGCTTAGCGCGTTATCAGCACCACACATAGAGGCCAAACTAGCGCTAATCGAGCGCTACTACAATTCATTTGAGGAACTACAAACGCAGCTGGAGATTTTAGATGACACCGAGCTGGATGAAGAACATCGCCTGACCATGGATGAGAGCTATTGTAGGGCTAAGGCACTGTACAGTGAAAGGCTATCGTTTTTACGAACCAACTCATCCGGAATGCAGCTGAGTAGCACCCACATCACACAACAACACAACACATCTTCATCGCGACAGAGAATAAATTTGCCGAAGTTAAAACTATCGACGTTCAATGGCTGCTACCGCGAGTGGCTGGATTTTTACAATATCTTTTTGGTCCTCGTCGACAAAAATCCAGACCTCTCGGATATTGAAAAATTTCAATATCTGCGCTCAAGCCTTTCAGGGTGCGCAGCTACCCTCATACAATCATTAGAGGTGACCAACGCAAATTATAAGAAGCCGCTGCAGCTACTTGAATCCCGTTTCGACCATAAGCGGTACATATTGCAGTCGCATCTTCAGCACATCTTCGACACACAACGCATCACCACACCCACCGTTGCTAATCTTCGTAGCTTCGTCGACGTCATAAATGCAAACATGCGTGCCATGCAATCGATGGCAACATCCACACAAATTGGTAACGGGCTACTGCTTCACTTGGTCGTTTCAAAGCTAGACCATGAAACGCAAGTGAAATGGGAAGAAGAAGTGGCTGCGAAGTGGGACCGACCATCACACCAGGTATCCCTCATGCTGCCAGCATGGGAAGATCTTGCAGCGTTCCTCGAACGTCGTTGCCAACTCATCGATATCATCGATCACAGCGCTACTTCAACCAAATCGTCGCATCGGTCACCAGAACCAACATCATCGTCGCAATCAAAGTCTCGTCAATCACCAAAGCAAGTATCGTTCATCACCACCAATAAACCAAAATGCAATTTGTGTGAAGGCTCTATCAGTCATAATGCCTTCAACTGTTCCGTCTTCATGAAGCTGACACCAGTACAACGCTACGACGTAGCAAAGAAGAAGAGTCTGTGCTTAAACTGTTTGGGTCCGAATCATTCGTCGAAAGACTGTCCGTCCACGCATAGATGTCAAGTTTGTCGGGCGAGTCATCACACCCTATTGCACCGTTCGCAACCAACCACAACCAATCCACAATCATCGTCTTCGCCACTGACACCATCCAACACCATGAAGTCAACTTCGACACCAACAGTGCTTCAGGTTTGTGACAGCAACAAAGAGGTTCTACTTGCGACTGCCGTGATTCAGCTTCGTAGTCAATCGGGTACAACGATTTTCGCTCGTGCACTGCTTGATTCCGCCTCGCAGTTGCATTTCATAACTGAGCGCTTGGCTCAGTTACTTCGTGTACATCGCAAAAAGGTTCCACTGGAAATCAGTGGCATAGGATTATGCGGATCAAGGTCGCAGTTCCTATGCAAGGTGGAGATACGCTCTCAACACACAGCATATTCATCGACCATAGATGCGGTCATCATGAACGCAATAACGACATGCCAACCGCGCACACCACTGAACACCATCGCATGGAACATACCAAAGAACATCAACTTGGCTGACGATAATTTCAACAAGCCAGGCCCAGTTGATCTTCTGCTTGGAGCGAGCATTTTTTATGACTTGCTGTTGATTGGACAGATCAAGTTGGGCGACAATGTGCCTGTCCTTCAAAAAACTAAGGTTGGGTGGGTGGTCGCTGGAGCTGTCACAATCCCACCACTTATATCTTCGGCGTCATTGGTCGCATCATACACCACCTCAGTAGGCACCGACTGCATACTATCTAACGCATGGCCATCGCAAATCTCCTTTGATTCGAAGGTAACGGAAGCTTCGTCACTCACCTTGGAACCGTCACTTGATCAGATTTTGGAAAGGTTTTGGCTTATCGAACACAATCCACATCAAACACCACCAAGTCTAACTGCTGATGAAATTGAGTGCGAAAAATTCTTCGCAGAGACGACAAAGAGATGCCCCAACACCAATAAGTTCATCGTTCGTTTGCCTTTTAAGGAATCACCATAGTCATTGGGCAGCTCGTATGATATAGCACAAAAACGACTAGTGTCCATCGAAATCAAACTTCGTCGCAACAAATGTCTCGAGCGAGACTACTATTCCTTCATGAAAGAATACATCGAGCTTCATCACATGATTCGCATGCCTCACCCTGGTAGCTTCGTAAACTACATACCACACCATGCAGTCGTGAAGTTGGATAGCAGCACCACCAAACTTCGCGTCGTGTTCGATGCGTCGTGTCGTACATCTAACGGCAAATCACTCAACGATATTCTTCGAGTTGGACCTACAGTGCAAGATGATTTGTTTTCAATTCTCCTTAGATTCAGAAGGCATGTCTTTGTGCTGATGGCTGACGTCGCAAAGATGTATAGACAAATCATCGTGGACAAGCAAGATGCACAATGGCAATGCATTTTGTGGCGCGATGAGATAACCGACCGCATAATCACATACCAGTTACAAACAGTGACCTACGGTACGGCATGTGCGCCCTACTTGGCCACAAAGTGTTTGCAGCAGCTGGCATGCGAACACATGTCATCTCATCCAATCGGCGCTTACGCCGTCCATAACGACTTTTATGTAGACAACCTGATGACGGGTGCCTCCACTATTGAAGAAGTTGTCGAAATTAAGAAGCAAGTCATCGAGGTGCTGAACAATGGGGGATTTCCATTGAGGAAGTTCTCATCAAACGATACACGCATAATCGCAGACGTACCAGAAGGAGATCGTGAAGACGTCATACAGCTTGATGACATTGACTACATAAAGGCACTGGGCCTTATGTGGTCCCCATCGCAAGATAGGTTTTTGTTTCGCTACACACCACCACCACCATCATCGAAAGTGAGTAAGAGAACCATTCTCTCTCACATTGCTAGATTCTTCGACCCGCTGGGATTACTCAACCCACTCATTGTCACCTGCAAGGTTTTGTTGCAGCAATTATGGAAGCTTCATTTGAATTGGGACGAAAGTGTACCTCCTTGCGTATACACACAATGGGAGTCATTCTGCGCAAAACTGCCACTTCTCGAAAATCTTCGAGTCCCAAGGTTAGTAGCTTTCGACTGTGATTCTAATATCCATGCCTTTGCAGATGCAAGTAAAAAGGCATATGGCGCATCAATCTATTTAGCAACGAAATCTAGTTCGTCACTTTTGTGTGCTAAGTCTCGCGTCGCACCTACGAAGGAAGTTAGTTTGTCTCGCTTGGAGCTGTGTGCTGCATTACTACTGGCTGAATTACTTGAGTCAGTGTCCAAAAACCTTCGTCACGATTCAAACAACGTTCACTGTTGGACAGATTCGATGATCACGCTTGCCTGGATAAAGGGTGAACCATCACGGTGGTCAACATTCGTCAGCAACCGAGTAACCAAAATTCAGTTGCTCACCAAGCAATATCAGTGGCACCACATCCCCAGCGAGGTGAATCCAGCAGACATACTGTCGCGTAGAGCAAAGGTTGACCAGCTCACTGGCAACAAACTTTGGTTTCACGGTCCAAATTTTCTCACACTTGCAGCTAACCATTGGCCTTCACCATCGCTCATCGACATCGAAATCCCAGAACAGCGTCGGTAGCACATCACCTTAATAACAAACCCGACAACAGACATCATCGGCGAGCACAAATTCCCCACCAACTACAACAAACTCATTCGAGTTTTTTGTTATGTGCGGCGCTTTATAGACGGAGCTCGCAAAATTCACCACCACAGCCAACAAGATTACATCACCGCATCGGAAATGAACGATTCTCTCCTCACCATCTGTCGCATCGTTCAACCCCACACCTTCGTAGATGAATTCACCAATTTACAATTAAATCGTCCAGTTTCTCACAAATCACCATTATCGCAGTTATCACCATTCATACACGAGGGAGTTATTAGAGTAGGAGGTCGGCTTAAAAACTCTTCGCTGAGTTTTAACGAAAAACATCCAGTTTTGCTACCAAAATCGCACCCTTTCGTTCATACAATCATCATGCATTTTCATCGACATCATCTTCATGCTGGTTGCCAAACCTTGCTCACCATCCTTCGAGAAAACTTTTGGATTATCAATGCTAGAAGCACCATCAAGCATGTACTCCACAAATGCATTATCTGCTACCGGTTTCGGTCAATTTTGACTGAACAATTGATAGGCGACTTGCCAAGAGACCGAGTAGTGCCATCGCCTCCGTTTGAGAAAACAGGCGTGGATTACTGCGGCCCGCTACTCATCACCCAACAACTCAGAGGTAGAGCTCCCATTAAAGTTTATATAGCTATTTTCATATGCTTCAGTTCCAAAGCCGTCCATCTTGAGCTGGTTCCGGACCTCACGACGGACGCATTCATCGCTGCTCTGAAACGCTTCATATCTCGTCGTGGCAAATGTCGTGTCATTTATTCAGACAATGCCACAAACTTCGTCGGTGCAAATCGGGAGCTGCGTGAGCTCTTGAAACTCCACATATCGCAACAACACGCAGATAACGTGAAAGCGGCATGCTGCAAGGAAGGCATCGAGTGGAAGTTCATCCCTCCCAGATCGCCACACTTTGGTGGGTTATGGGAGAGTGCAGTCAAGCAGGCCAAGCATTATCTTCGAAGGGCGATTGGCGCCCACATTCTCACCTTTGACGAGCTGCACACCATTTGCTGCCAGGCTGAGGCAATGATCAACAGTAGACCCCTCATGCCTATGTCAAGTTCACCAGATGATCTTCGCTCATTAACACCAGCACATCTTATTATAGGTAGATCCCTCACTTCTATACCTGAGCCATCGCTGGCGTCTTTGAATACTGGGACACTGAAGCGGTATCAAGTGATGCAGTGGATTCAGCAACAATTTTGGACCCGATGGAGTAAGGACTACCTTCAAGAATTACAGTTTCGCAAGAAGTGGAAGTCGTCAACACCAAACCTAAAAAAGAACGACTTGGTCTTGCTATGTGAAGATAACAATCCACCATTCAAATGGCCAATGGGTCGCATCATAGACACTATTGAAGGCTCAGATGGAAAGGTACGTGTAGTCATCGTTAAAACCGCTGAAAATACCCACAAACGAGCCATCACAAGGGTAGCGAAATTGCCTGTTGAAAATATCCAGTAAATTACTGTGAAGCTGCACTTCCCAGGGGGGGGGGGGGG